TTTGCAAACATACAGGGCAAGTTCTAGACATCACTGACATGCACATAATATCAATAAAAACGTCACTCACACATTGGCACATAACTCACTTAGGAACGGATCTGTCCCGACTCTCTAGTCAAAGTAGTTAAGCAAAGTCATAAATAAATAATTTACGGTACTTATTTAAGAGTCAAGAACTGAGCCTAGGTGTCACAACTAAGGCACTCACCACTCTCAAGGCATATGCAGTCAAGGAAAATAGCTTCAAAATTAGCACTATGACTCAAGATTCTTTACTCCTATAAAACAAAAACTAACTACACTCGGTTCAAGTAAGACTCTTGGAAAAGAACCGTGACATAAAGAAAAACTAAGGGGAAATTGTTACACTACCTAAGAAAGTAAAATAAAATACAATAAAATAAATAAAAGACATATTTTTGGATTTTCAAGATTTGTTTTGTATTTTTCACATTCGACTTCAAATCCCTCAAGAAGCCAGTCGACGAAATCCATTGTCGGAAAGAGTTGAAACTAAACAATTATGATTACTAACTATTATAGGCTGATAGAATTCAAAAATATGATTACAAACCATATTTTGTAAGAAAGCCAGAAACAAATCAAACAAAACCAACTGGAAAATAGAAAACAAGTACAAATACAACCAAATTGGAGCACCCCACCCCACACTTAAGAAATTGCATTTCCCCCAATGCAAAACAGTAAAAACAAGAGTGAAAATGTAACTCCTTGAGGCCCTTGGCCTACTCCTCATCAACACCCTCAAAGGTGCGTAGGTACTCCTCATCATCGGAGGGAACAAAGTTTACATCCTCATTTGGTGGCATCTGTGCTCCATCTGCCAAGCCCAACCACTGCTGAGTGACCACAGAGAGGGGTGGTCCTCCTGTAGCTCTCCCAAGTCAGTCTCCCCCCAAGCCGCGCGAAGGCGCATATCAGCAAATAGCAACTGCAGTGTCTCCTCGACACAAAGTAATCTCTGATCCACAGGAACAACAACAGAAAGGGGGGTCTGTCACAGCTGTGACATCAAAGGCCTTAAGAGGCCGCATCACCGGAATCGTCCGGGCATGATGGAACTCCTCCTCTACATGGTGCGTCCTTAGAAGCCGCGTGGTCATGCTCGGGAAATACATGCGGCAGGCCCCAAGTGGTCGTACTCGAGCCATATGCTCAAGCATAATCTTACCCAGATCAAACTTCATCCGAGTCAAGATAGCATAAATGGGACACACCTTCAACCGGGAGACATCAATGTTGTTCTAGGTAGGCATGATCTTTGCATTAATCAACCGGAGAACGACCCTGGCGGGACGCTGGAAATTTCACTTCTTCATGTCTTTGTGGAACTCATTAGCATCCCGCGTCCACGTGGCATAAGAACCAGCACCACACAGCTGGCGCCTAATATCAGGATAGGGGTCCAACGCAGTAACCTCTGGAACAACATATGATAGTGCTTCGTGAACCCCATGATTTGATTTATTACTCGTAAGGAGAAAGGAATCATCTTGCCTCTCACCTCCACTTCATACCCCGCATATAAACTGGCCTCAGGTTTCCAGTTAGCATATAACTCCTTGACCATGTTCACGTTCACCGACTTATCGGGACAGAACAAAGTTTCAAAACACAAGTATCTGATGTTGTTGTAAATCCCCGAGTACTTCTTGGCTAGCTTGTCATCATCAATACTAATTTATGCATCAAGGCTCACCGCTAGAACAAAGGTCCGGTACCACATCCTAGCATGAGCTGGTACAACCCGAATGCCATACTTGGAGCCCGGTACTACATCCGCATCAGGATCAATGTTCTCATCTTCCTTCTCCACTGGGGCGGGGGGAGGTGCCCGCCTACCTCCTCAACGGCTGTAGAGTCAACCTCAGAAGAACCTGTGTTAGAATGTTTGCTAGGACGACGAGACATTATACCTAAACAAAACGGACACAATTAGCCCCAACACTTAAAACAAAAAATCAAGACCACACAGGGTAACCACCCCACACTTATGTTATTGGCATGTTCACAAGTACAATGTATGTCGGGGACTCAAACTACTCCTTTGAAAGCACCCACTAGTAATCAACAACTCACCTAACCACCAACATAATATTACAACATAAACACAAACTACACTAGTATAAAATACAAAATTAAGAAGCTAAAATGGTTACTACGAAAAGAAGAATAAGAATTTATTCTAATTTACCACTAATAAAATAAAGAAGTTACAATACAACAGGACACAAGTACTTAGCATGAATCGAACACCCCAATTAGCACCTAGCAACACATGAGTATGGGATGGTCAATCGATTAGCACTCGGGACTAACACATTAAAGTTTCACAACATAAGAACATGACCTCCCACCCCACACTTATCATAAGCATCGCATTATCTCCTAACAAATTTTCTCTAATTAAGCACAACTTCACCTTCTATGTCATTGGGGCATTTTATCAAACACATTATATTCATCAAGTTCAACTCATAATTTCAACTTCAATGGGTCTACTTCAATGGGTCTAGACCACTACACAACAACACCAATCAACCTTCCAACAATAATCACAATGTAACAATAACACAAAGTGCTCTAATTTTTCACAAATCACCCTCCAATTTTCGGCCATATTGGCACCCCCACCAAACTCCATCACAAAATAATTTCAACACCATCAAAACACACCAAAAATCACCCACAATCATAAGTACAATGAAAACCCCACTAGTTTATGCATATTTTCAAACAAAATAGAAGAAAAATATCTAAAAGATTAGCAAACATAACTACCTAGGGTTAGGGGAATTAAATTAACGTTAACTAAAACAATAAAAAAAACTAAGAGAAAAAATAAAATAAAATAGAATACTTACCTTGATGATGAATGAAGATGAGAGGATGAAGGATTTGAGGAAGAATAGGGATATGGAGTGAGAGAGAGAATAGTTGGAGATGAGTTAAAGTGAAAGAATGGGGAAAAGAGGAGTCAGGTGTTAGAGCATTAAAACGTGTATCCCTTATATTTTATTTTCAAAAACCTTTTTTATAAATAAATTGGCCGACAAAAATTGTACAACCGCATCACGGGGTGCGACGCCCCATGCGACGTGGCAGTGAGAAGCTCAGAGACCCATGCTCTGATATATTTGCCCGTTTGGCCTAGCGCGGTGCCCCATGCGGCGCTAGGCCACTTTTCACAAAGTTCCAATTTTTTTCACTTATTAGCCTACGGGTCGCACCCAACTCTATTATTTACTTATTTTGTGTCCGATTCATGCTTATACATGTTCAAACAATTATCAAAACTATTAAACTCTAAAAATCCTACACTACAATTATCCAACTATTCTACAAAAGCGTGAAAAAGTGTTAGAAGTAGTTCTGAGTTATAGTCGTCAGCTTGACTTCTTCACTTAGGCTTATTTTATCACGATGCTAGAGGATTGCTTGTCAAATTCTCCAACAAGGTACGGTTTCAACCTGTACCTATTCACTTTAAAACTCTCATTCCCTTCCTCATCCTGTATTTCAATGGCGCCATACAGTGAGACGTGCTTCTCACGTCATATGGACCTGTCCAACTTGACTTAAATTTTCCGGGGAACAACCTAAGTCTACTATTGTATAGTAAGACTTTGTCCCCTTCATAAAACTCTTTTGGATTAATTAGATGAGCATAACACCTCTTTGCCTTCTCCTGAAAAATTCGCGCATTTTCATACGTGTCCAGTCTAAATTCCTCCAATTTGTTCATCTGCGCCAACCTGTATTCACCTGCAAAACTAAGATCAAGATTTAGCATCTTAATTGCTTAATAAGCTTTATGTTCTATCTCAACACGTAGGTGACACAATTTTTCATGCACTAGTTTGAATGGTGAAGTCCCTATGATTGTTTTGAATGTGGTTCTGTATGCCCATAGAGCTTCATCTAAATTTACAGACCAATCCTTATGAGAAGCACTAACCGTCTTTTCAAGAATTCATTTAAGTTCACGATTAAACTTGTGTGTGACCCCATACTTAGATAACAATGCAACAAACTGCTTGTTCACAAAATGCGACCCATTGTCACTGATAATCACTCGAGGTGTCCCAAAGCGGGTAAAGATGTTCTTCCGTAAGAACTTACATACCACCGAGCATCATTGGCACTAGAAGGGATTGCTTCGACCCATTTAGAGACGTAGTCAACGACTCCTAGAATATACTCATAAGAATGAAACGATAGGAATGGGCCCAAGAAGTCAATGCGCCAAACGTCAAAAATTTCACATACTAGAATGGAGTTTAGTGGCATCTCATCCCTCTTTCTAATGTTATCTCCGCTTTGACACTTGTCACATGCAGCTACATACGCCCATGCGTCTTTGTATAAAGAAGGCCAATAGAAACCGACTTAAATGACCTTTGATGCAGTGCAATTTCCACCATAATGTCCTCTAGCTGCTCCATCATGGCAATGAGACAGAATGCTTTTCATCTCTCCTTCAAGCACACACCTTCGAATCACACCATATGCGCACAGTTTAAACAAGAAAGGGTTATTCCAAAATAACTTTTTACCTCACCTTGAAGCTTTCTTCTTTGATCACGAGAGAGGTCACGAGGCAACCATCCACTAGCCAAGTTGGCTACATTAGCATACCAAGACGGCCTTTCAGAGACCGCAACAATGGAGAAAATCTGGTCATCAGGAAACTCTTTCCTTATTTTAACTATTTCAACCGGAGGTCTCTCAAGTCGAGATAGATGATCTGCGACTTGATTTTCTGTGCCTTTCCTATCCTTGATATCCAAGTCAAACTCTTGGAGCAATAATACCCACCGCATCAGACGCGACTTGGACTCCTTCTTACTCAACATGCATTTCAAGGCTGAGTGATTAGTGTGTACAATCACTTTACTCCCCACCGGATATGATCTAAACTTTTCAAAATCAAAAACCACAACAAATAACTCTTTCTCAGTAGTGGCATAGTTGACTTAAGCAACATTCAATGTCTTTCTTGCATAGTAGATGGGCCTAAACATCTTGTCTTTTCTTTGCCCCATAACCGCCCCCACAGCTACATCACTAGCATCACACATTATCTCAAATGGCTGGCTCCAATCAGGTGCCACCATAATAGGAACACTCACAAGCTTTTCCTTTATCAATTCGAATGCTCTTAAGCACTCCATAGTTAAAATAAACTTGACATCTTTCGCTAGCAATGAAATTAATGGCTTGGCAATTCTAGAATTTTTTTGATGAACCTCCTATAGAGCATGTCTCAAGAAACTCCTTATGCTTTTTACGGAAGTTGATGGAGGGAGCCTAGCAATTACATCAGCCTTAGATCTATCAACTTCAATGCCATGTGCATTCACTTTGTAGCCCAGGACAATTCCCTCTTTCACCATGAAATGGCACTTCTCCCAATTAAGAACCAAGTGAGTGGCTTAACAACGTTCAAGCACAAGATCCAAACTCTTCAAGCAATTCTCAAAGTCATCACCAAAGAGGGTGAAATCATCCATGAATACCTCTAAACACTTCCCGTTTAGATCGGAGAACATAGACATCATGCACCTCTAAAAAGTGGCAGGTGCATTACACAACCCAAATGGCATCCTCTTATAAGCAAAAATACCTGGCGGACAAGTAAATATGGTCTTCTGAACATCTTCTAGGGCAATGGGTATCTGATTGTAGCTTGAGTACCCATCCAAGAAGTAGTAGCATCCATGTCCAGCCACTTTCTCGAGCATTTGATCAATAAAGGGAAGTGGGGAGTGGTCTTTCCTTGTTGCATCATTCAGCCTTCTATAATCAATACATATTCTCTACCCAGTGACCATTCTTGTGGAATCAGTTCATTATTTTCATTCTTTACCACTGTCATGCCCCCAGTCTTAGGTACAACTTGCACTGGACTAATCCACTGGCTATCAGAGATGGAGAAAATAACTCCCACATCTAGTAATTTGATGATCTCTTTGTGCACTACCTCCTCCAATATTTTGTTCAACTTGCATTGGGGTTGCACCACTGGCTTGCTATTTTCTTTCAACTGAATTTTGTGCATGCAAATGGCTGGACTGATTCCTTGAATATCAGCTATACTCCAACCAATGGCCTTCTTGTGCTTTTTCAGCAGCTCCACAAGTTTTTGCTCCTCTTTACCTGTCAAGTCAGCTGAAATAATCACAGGAAAAATGTTAGTTTCAAGAAAAGCACATTTCAAGTGAGTGGGGAGGACGTTCAATTCCATATTAGGCTTTGAAGCATCCTCTTTTAGTTCCTCCTCATCAATCACTTGATCCTCAGTATCAAGATCTTCAGCCTCTTTCGTCATTTTAGGATGTTCATCCTCCACTGTGCTATACTGAGTAATACACCTGTTTAGAGTATCCCCCAACACATTGTCAAAATTGTATTTTCCAGCCAATTCCCCAACAACATCTAGCTTGAAACACGAGTAGGCGGACGCCTCATCACTGGAGTATTTCATCATCCTCTTCATCTGGAACACCACTTTTTCATTGCCCACTCTGAGCATAAGCTGCTCCTCATAGATATCAAGGATAACTCTACCTGTAAATAAAAATGGCCTCCCTAAAATTAGATGCACCTCCTTCTTCTCCTCCATATCCACCACAATAAAGTCTACGAGGAACACAAACTTGTCCACCCGTACTAAAATATCCTCAATGATTCCCTCAGGCAAAATGGTGGTCTGGTCATCCAGTTGTAGGGACATTGGTATTGATTTAATCACTCCAAGCTCACATTTCAGTTTCCTGAATACAGACAGAGACATTATATTAATAGATGCACCTGAATCACAGAGGGCCTTGTCGAATTTCTCACTCCCCAACGAGCATGGTATGGTGAAGCTTGTTGGTCCCCACACTTTTGGGGAATTTTGTTTTGCAATATGGCACTGCAGTGGGCATTCAGCTTGACCACTGTTGCCTCCTCCAATTTTCTCTTACTAGACAAGATTTCCTCCAAGAACTTTGTATAAGTAGGCATCTGAGTGAGTATCTCTGTGAAGGGAATGCTCGCATAAAGTTGTTAGGGCATCTCCAAGAACCGGCCAAAATATTTTTCAAGTTTTTTTCGCTTCATATTTTGAGGGAATGGTAGAGCTGGCATATGTCTACTTTCTTCAATCTTCTTTTGTACCCCGCCACTATGGCCTTTCTTCTCTTCACTTTGTTTCTCTTCCAGTGTCCCAGTCTGCTTGTTCACCACCTCGGGTCTAGCCTTCACCACTGGGTCAACCAATATTTTGCCACTTCTCAGAGATACATCTTTGATTGTTTCCTTTGGATTCTTTTCAGTGCTAGAGGGTAGAGTCCAAGAGCCCTCTCAGATAACAAATTTGCAATTTATCCCATTTGCCTTTCTAAATTCTGGATAGCCGTGCCCTGAGTCTCAAATATTTCATCTATTTTGTTGATGCATGCCTTCATGAGATCTTCCATACTAGACTGATTTGGCTATTATGGCTGGTATTATTGCCTCTTCTGGTTCTGAAATCTTGGTGGTCCTTTACCCTGGGGTTTGGGATTATTTTCCTGCCATGAGTTCAAACTCCTATTAGGTGAACTCCACGTTACCCCATAGAATTATAGTTGTTCCCACCTTGGTAGTTTCCTCTATTAAAGTTCCCCACAGCGTTGACTTCCTCAGCTGGTGTTTGACATTCATATTTAGGGTGTCCCATTCCACAAAAGTCACATTCTGCTTACGGCTCACTTTGTACCTTGGCCAATGTCAGCTTTCTTATTTCATTGGCCATGGTGTCTAGCTGGGCTTGCATGGATGTGTTAGAGTCCACCTGGTGAACCCCAACTAATTTTATTCTGTCATTACTCTCAGCAGGCCACTTGTTATCATCCTCAGATAATTCATCTAGGATTAAGACAACATGTTCCAGAGTTTTCTTCATTAGTGGACCTCCACATGCAGTATTCAGAGTTCGTCGCGAGAAAGGTGTCAGTCTATCCCAAAAATCCTGGAGTTTCATCCACAAATCAATTCCATTGTGCTGACACTTTCTGACTATCTCCTTGAATCTTTCCCAAGCTTCAAAAACCGTTTCTGTCTCCTTCTGGAAGAAATTATGGATTTCCCTTCTGAATTTCTCTATTTTTGCAGCTGAGAAGTACTTATCAAAAAATGCTTTGATCATCTCTTCCCATGTCCTGATCGACCCTGTGGGTAAGCTACAAAGCAGTGCTTCACACTATCTTTCAATGAAAAGGGGAATGCCCTCAAGTATACGGCATCTTTTGATACTCCATTGTATTGGAAGGTGTTCATGATTTCTTCAAAGTCCATCAAGTGAGTGTTTGGATCTTCATTCACCTTTCCTCTAAAGATGCAGTTGTTTTGGATGGTTTGAAGCAAGTCTTGCTTCAACTCGAAGTTGTTTGCTGCTATGGGTAGAGATCTGGCACTTGACAGTCCTTGATTGTAGACTAGTCTGGCATAGTCACCCAATGATCTTCCAGGTTTGGGTGCTGTATTCTCGAACTGGTCTTCAACCAAGGGTCGATTTAGATTGAATCTTCAACCCCCATTATCTTCGACAGTCTCCTCAGTAATTCTCTGGGCTACTTCAGCTGCTATCCGTGTAGCTTTTTGTTGTGCTGCCTCTCTTGCAGCTAAGTCTACTCCATCATTCTCTTTTTTTGCCATGTTATCTTGAGTCGAAGTATGACTCAAGAAATTTTCTGTTAATTCTCTTTCTTTTCTCAGTTGTCGCAGGTGTTTCTGTAACTCTAGTTCGTAAGGTATCACTTCCTTTGAAGAAGATCGAGTCATCCATTAGAGAAATCAAACCTGTATCCTGCACACAAGTGAGAAAATGTGAATACACTAAAGTAAATTTTGGTTCATGAATTAGTACTAAAAACTATTTTAAACATTATTGATTGCCAATCCCCGGCAACGACACCAAAATTTGACAAGCGTAAAACACAACCCAAAATTATTGCTCGCTAGTCAAAAATAGTATAGTTTAATTATCGTCTCCACAAGGATTGAATTTAAACAGTGTTCGAATAATCTTCAGTTGATTACTATCCAGGAAAATTAATACTTGATTTGATGACTATTACTATGATTAACTAATAAAAATTAAGCAATTAATAGTTGATCACAAGAGGAAGCAGATGAGCAACGAAGAAATATCAATGAGAGAAATAAGAGTATTTGACTAGATAGGTGTAAGATAATTGACCCGAGATCCAATTCTTAAGTTAATTCACTCTATAAACCTTTGATTCTCAAGAATTCAATAAAGAATCAGATTACGATTGAAGTTAATGTTCCTCTTTTGATTAAACATTAATTTCAATAATTAATCCAATTGAAGCACAGTAAACAATTGCTACAATAAAATGATGGTTATGATCTAAAGGGTAACTTCTCATGAATATTTTCCTATTTTCTAGTTCGATTAACAATTCATGAGGCTCTTTCGATTACCTATTTGAATCACTAATTTAAACTAAAGCATAAGATGTAAATCAATTCAATATCATGGTCCTCTTTCGATTAAGCAAAATAAGAAATAACTCCACAATATGAATTAAAACTCCATCAATTAATTCTATCAATTATCAAGAATCTAATCCCTAATAAAGTTATTAAAATACCGTATCTGTCAACACCTAAATGGAATTTACTCCATAGCTATGGAATAAGTCATCTCAATAAGGTTCAAAAATAAAGAAAACATCAATACAAATGATTCGATACAAATTTCCGTATTGCACCGATTGTAGGTTGATTACTCCAAAATTTGATGAGCGCAAAACACAATACAAAATTATTGCTCGCTAGTTAAAAATAGTATAGTTTAATTATCGTATCCACAAGGATTGGATTTAAACAGTGTTCGAATAATCTTCAGTTGATTACTATCCATGAAAATTAACACTTGATTTGATGACTATTACTACGATTAACTATTAAAAATTAAGCAATTAACAATTGATCCCAAAATATGGCAAATGAGCAGCGAATAAATATCAATGAGATAAATAAGGGTATTTGATTAGATAGGTGCAAGATAATTGACCCGGGATCCAATTCTTGAGTTAATTCACTCAATAATTGTAATGACCTGACCAGTTGTTTTGAGTATTACAACCCCGATAACCCATTTACTGCTCAATTTATACTTTACAGTTATTATGTGACTTGCCGGGGTGATTGGTTCGGGTCCGGTGGGGTTTTAGAATAAATTGGAATACTTAGTTCCAAGGTTTAAAGCTTAAGTTAAAATAGTGACTGGATGTCGACTTATATATAAACGACCTCGGATTTGAATTTTGATGGTTCTGTTACCTCCGTTTGGTGATTTAGGACTTAGAAGCGTGTCCAGATTGTGATTTGGAGGTCCGTAGTGGAATTAGGCTTGAAATGGCGAACGTTAAATTTTTGGGAAGTTTGACCGGGGAGTTGACTTTTTGATATCGGGGTCGAAATCAGATTCTGCAAATTGGAACAAGTATGTTATGTCATTTATAACTTGTGTGCAAAATTTGAGGTCAATCGAACTTGATTTGATAGATTTTAGCGTTGAATGTAGAAGTTAAAAGTTCTTAGTTTCATTAGGCTTGAATTGGGGTATGATTTGTGGTTTTAACATTGTTTGAGGTGATTTGAGGGTTCGACTAAGTTCGTATGATGTGTTGGACTTGATGGTATGTTTGGTTGAGGTCCGAGAGGTCTCACGTGAGTTTCGAAT